TTCTGGCTTGAATGTTATTTTTCACATCCAAGTGGCACGGTCTAGAGAAAAGAATATCATTCATGATGTAAGTACAGTGGTTTATATTCTGGAGTTATTCAGACAGCTGGGTGTAGGCGTTCTGTTTATGCGTATAGAAAACCTCATGTGACATACATAATTGCTATGGAAGTTATTTTGTAATTCATTGCTCCAAAAATGACCTCTTCACTTTATTATGGGGATGGCTGTGTTTCCTTAAACCTCCTAAAAAGTTGCATTTTTAATTATATTAGTACTCTGTGTATTGCAAATTTTTTTTTTTAGAAAACTTCAGATATTCCTTTTAAAATTTGAAGGCAGCTGAAATTTTGGAGAATAATTGAAAGTAGGAGTGTAAAGTCTTCCAAAACCATCCAAACATATCCAACACACACCACAGGCAGTGCTTAGCTTCTCGGCTTCACTTCTTTGCAATATATTCTGTAGTGCCTAATGACAGGTCCACTTTAAATCTCTGTTATTCATTCGTTCTGTTGTTCCAGGAATATTACAACACAAGTCTCTCTGGCAGTGATAAGCCCTTCATCTGGATGTGGGATTCTGAGCTGCCATTAGAATGTGATTCCCATTCTTTCCGTATTCGTATTGCGTTGTTACAGGACCGCTTTCCCTCTGAAGAGGACTGGAGTGTCTGGAGCCTGTGGAAGACCCATCCGGTGAGTGCAGACTTGTATGAACTGATATCTTCTAATCCCGTGTCACATGAGGACAAACGCGACTAGATATGTGCGTTTTGGTTTGTTACGATTCGTTTTTCAGACGAAAATTTCATATTTTTGGAGATTTGGATGTACCGTATGTGAATCTCCAAATGGACATAGCAACGAATGTCAATGAATCTTAAAAAAAGTTATAACAAAATTAACTAATGCATTTGCTTCATTCATTTCATTTGGATGACGTCACATGATGCAATAGAAATTTGGGCCCATGGGGAATTAATTCAGTTTTCAAATTCGTTTGATAGTTTGGATTCGGATAGCGAATAGATCCAAATTTTGTTCCATTTGTTAATTTCGATACACGTGATGCCAGTCAATATTGTCCAATCAGTTCATGCCATTTCTCTTGGTGGGTTGGACTAGCATCCGAAAATATTGAAACTTTCCAATTCGAAATCCGTCCGATTCGATAATATATTGAATATATAGTCCTTGAGCGTTTGTTTTGTTATTTTATTGATGGGATTAGAACTTGGATAGGGTAAGGGGTATATAGGCTGCCCAAGGGAACCAAAATCTGAAGACAACTTCCTGAACTATTCACAGCTTCTTTTCTCTGATATAGTCTCTGGTGGAGTGCTAGCCAGCAGCTACATTGTAACACCCCAGACCCTAGATGAAATCCTCTTCACCCAGCATTCTGGAGGCTTTTCCTGAGCAGGGGATCTGACTCCTGTTCATTTAAATGGGTAACAGTTACTAGTACGGGGCTAATCTGGTTTCTCACCAGAGTGCTCCTTCCCCTATCCGCCCAGGGGGTGTAGATGTACTCACTTAGATCCTCTCCTGTACCGCTTGTGGGTTGGCTGCTGTTACCAGGCCTATCAGCTGGGCTGCTCCTTCCCTGCCATACAGGTGGTCCTCTCAGGGGGCCAATCAGTCCCGTGTTTTTCTCCTTTCCAGCTCCAGGCTCACAGGCAGGCCCCATCTCACTAGGCCTCCTGGCAGCCCTCCTCCTAGAGCTTCACATCTTTCTGCTCCACACTCCTATCCCACCACCACTCCTCTGCTACTGAGCAGGCTCTTCCACTTTTAAGGGAGTCCCAGCCTCTTGCCAAGTCTCCTCTTTGGGATTGGCTGAGGTCCCTCAAGAGTGCAGCCAGCCACTCCTCAGATCCACCCACTACCTCCAAGACCCTTCTCTGAAAGCCTCAGAGCGGGGGAAATTCCAGAGGGGCTGGCCTGCAGAGTCTTTCAGTCTTGACCAGAATTTGACCCCTCTGACTATTTTACCTGAGCTGCTAATCAGCTCCTCTCTAGCCATCAGGGTCTAGCTCCCCCTAGCCAAACTAGGAGGGTGCTACATGTATTAGACTCTTGCAGGCAGAAGACACAGGTGCATCATTCAGCCCCGCAGCATGTAAAACTCTATGGGAGGCTTACAGCTGCTGCGGCTGGATGGGGCTGGACAAGACACTGAGTGGTACTAACATCTAGGGCAGTATGCACCTAAGGATGAATGCATGAAAGCAGTTTGCCTTCTGGTCATTCGTCCTTTGGCAAATACTACCCTAAACCTTAGTACCTCTTGGTGCATTGATGACCCTGTCCAGCCTTTCATAGAGTTTTACAGGCTGCCGGCTGCAGGACTGGATGGTGCACCTGTGTTTTTCACCCGCACTTAAACATTGAAGTCTCGCACACTGTGGTGGGCTAAGCGCCCTGTGTGCATGAGGTCTTAACAGAAGTTATTCACGTGTGTTTTATTCTGTCAAAAATCCCCAAAGTAAGAGGAATATTCATTATTTCAGGACAGTGAGCAGAGTCATGTAAATCAATGCTTTATGCCCCAAACAGCCAGATGCACATCCAGAGCAGCTGGTGTATAGTGCAAATACAGCCATTTATCTTAAACTTGCATACAGTTGTTTCAGGCTTCTAATAACAAAATCATTCAATTTTTTTATTACAGGTATATATATAGTGCTGTCAATTTACGCTGTGCTTTACATATATATTATACATTCACATCAGTCCCTAACCCTCAAGGGGTGTGCAATCTAAGGTTCCTAACTCACATTCATACATACACATACTAGGGCCAATTTAGACAGGAGCCAAATGGCCTGCTAGCATGTCTTTGGGGTGTGGGAGGAGGTTGGGGTGCCTGGAGGAAGCCCATGCAGGCGCAGGGAGAACATGCAAACTCCAGGCAGGTGGTGCTGTGGTTGTGTTTTGAACCAACAACCCTAGTACTGCCAGGCAAAAGTGCTAACCATTTAGCCACTGTGCTGCCCCAGGTTATCTGTTTTTTAAAAATTAATTTATTATTTTGTTAAGTCATGACACAGCCATGAATGCATGGTTTTGACTGTATAAGTTCATTTTAATTTTTCAGAAAAAAATTATTAAAAAATGACAAAAAAATTGAAGGATAAGATAAAAAAGAAAAACGCCCCATGAAATGATATAACTTAAGAAGTAGAGTACTAATGGAGAATAGTATGAAGGTGTTTTATAAAGATTTAAAATTTGCTTCCCCACAGGGATCTAATAAATTAAGAATTCATTGTATTAAGATGAAAAAAATTTTCAAAAGCTTCTCCGCCCTTAAACACTTACCTGAGCCTGGTTTCAGTCCAGTGCTGTGCCCATCTGAAGCAGCTTTTCTCCCTTCTCTCTCTTCTCAGAGGAGACTCAGCAGCAGTGGGAGCCATGGGCTCCTGCTGTCAATCAATCCAGTAAGGAAGCGGGGCCAAGGCGCTCTGTGTGTGTCAATGGATGCACACAGCCAGCTCATGATCAAGCCCACACAAGTGCCTTCATAGAAAGTGGCTTGTTATGAGAGCACTCGGAGAAGAGGAGGAGCCAAGATCGCTGGTAGGGGACCCCAGATGAGGAGGTTCAGGGCCACTCTGTGCAAATCCATTGCACAGAGCTGGTAAGTATAACATGTTTATTTTTTCAAATGAAAAAAAGAAAGCTTTTCAACTGCTTTAATAAATGTGTAAGGGAACTTACCCTGGCAATATCCAAAAATGAATAATACATGAAGTGTTAAATAGACTAATTTAAGAAACTCTTCAACTTTTAACCCCTACTAAAGAAAATGGAGACTTTAATAGCACAGTCAAAAATGCATCATTACATTTGGGGAGAATATAGAACATGAAATACATGGTACTAGGGTAAGCATAGTAATTTATCAAACACAGAGTGGGAAGCACATCAAAGAAAGGACCAATCAAATCAAACTAAATCCATTGACTTAGTGTGGAGTATTGTAATTATAGAAAGACAAAAATACAATGCCAAAATCGACCCACAGATCAAAGAAGGAGCATCTTAGAATTTAGTAACAGATCCTACAAATAAAAATAAAGCGGTATTAATTAGAATACTGAAGCATATAATGAAGTGGCAGTTAATAAATCTGTTTTTTAACAAGCTTGACATAACTTTTATGGAAGACAAGGTTTACATTTAAAATTTAATCTGCCTATCCCTTTGGATCTACAGATCATTTTGATAGCCCATAAGGTCCTGGAAAGAGAACGAAAGGGCGCAAAGGCCATGCGCATTACCAGATAGAACGTTATTGAAGAGAAAAGAGGTGTAAAGTGCCTACTCACAAAAGCGAAGAGCTAATTAATCGGACCAGACCCCAGTATAAGGGTACGTTCATGAGGTTATGTGTCACCACAACCCTGGCATCATCAAGAATCACCAGCTAATGTGTTTCAAGGAACGGGCCCTCTTCAAACGTTTTGCTCTGATGAAGAGGGTCCATCCATTGATGGACCCTTGAAAAGGTAGCTGGTGACTCTTTATGTGATGCATAATATGGTGATACATAACTTCATGAGGGTACCCTGCCACTCGGGTCTGGTCTGATATGCTATTTTAGCCTTTGGCTTTTGTGAGTATGCACTTTGCACCTCTTTTTCCTTCAATAACATTTTATTTTGGTAATGCACTAGGCTTTTGCACTATTTTGTTCTCTTTGCTTTCCCTGTTGGTCCTTATGCCTTCCTTAGCCCTTTTGTCATTTGGAGATATATCCACATGGTCCTGTACAGCTTTACTATTCTTCTTTTGGGCTTTTTTTTTATGAATGCTTTCAAATATAGTTTTGGAATTGATTGGTCTAATATTTACATTGTACCCTTTATTTTCCCAGGAAAGAATGAGCAGAACAGAAATAACATAGTAATCTATCCTCATGAGAAAATTGTTCTGGAGGGTTCTGAAGTTAGTTTCTGCTGCTTGCTTGGCCTCTCGGAGAAAGTCCAGGAAATGACCTTTAAGAAGGAACGGTATCCCAGCCAGTCACAGCAAATGAAAACAGAGAGTTTTGTGATTACGGTGAAAAATGTATCAATGACTCCCTCAGATGGACACAATGTTATCTGCCGAGTGGACTCTATGGGCAGGAGAAGACAGAATGGAACCGTCCTCATTGTCAGCAGTAAGTGTAGTTATATGAAGTCATGTTATCTATGTATTGCAACCTCTATTTGAGTGCTGCAGTTATAATTTGAAGGACCAGTCCCAGATTTGGGAAACACATTCTTATAGTCATGTGCATATTTGGTCAATGACTTCAACTGGAAGAATCCACCCTTTAGTCTATATCAGCTGTTATTCGCTGAAGCTGTCACTGGCAAGCATGTGGATGGGTGTAGCATGTTGCTGTGGCAGCGAGCACATTGAGTTTGGTTGCAATTAACAAAGCTTGTATTGAAGGATTGGCTCAAAGATACATATAGGGCAGCGGTTAGGCACCCAGCTGGGAACACTCGCAGTTCCATGCAGTAAGGTAAAGTGGAGCAGATTTTGATACACCAGCATCATCTATCTCTGAGGGATGGAATGCAGCCTGGCCAGTCTGAGCCCAATGGGGAGGATTCCTAGGAAGGATAGCATGTCCTTATTCTGTCCCTACTTGTCTGGAACCTTTCCCTTCCGGTATTCACTTTCCGTGACAGATGGGTAACCTGACTGTACACTGTCCACTCGCAAAATGCACACCAAGCCCGGGAAGTCCCCCAGAGTCAAGTGAAACAGGGACATTCAACTGGATCTTGCCCAGTGACCCAGGGAACCATAGGGGAATATGTTTCTCTTGAATTCCTCTCCCTCTGTAATGCTGCTGCGGTTTAGCACCACCTGCAGTAGATTAAAGAGGCCTGCATCTGTTTACAAGCGAACAATTGTTGTGATCAGACATGTGTCGGCAGTCGGCATTTTTTTTAACTTTCAGGGGGGTTGGTGAGCATCATGATTGACGTGGAGCTACATCAACGGCTGATGTGATTGGCGATGGATGTACATTCATGAGACTTGTTTTTTTTTTTTTTGTCAAAAACCGTGGTGTTTTTATTTACACTTTACTTTTTTTGTGAATGAGTAGGGGTGTCATTCACAAATGGCGGTATATGGGGGCCACCTTATTGTTATTGTAGCTTCCACTTAACTTTTTTTGCAAAATTTCATGAACCCAAGGGCCAGGGTTGTGAGTAAGAGGCCATTGTCCTCATCTACAAGGTGCTTTGGCATGAGGTAAACCCCTCATGGCATAGTATGGCTTGCCAGATTGCATGCCCAGATAAGGGTTTGGTGTGGATTTTTGAGGGAACCATATGCTTTTTTTGAAGTTTTTGCATGGGGCTCCCCCTTAAAACCCATGTCTAGAGTCTGGTAAAGAATTTAGGAGGGACCTCACACTGTATGTTGATGAGAAGAAGGGCCTCTTCGCACAATCCTGGCCCAGTGGATGTGGGAATCGGCAGGAGGGGAGCTTATTGGGATTTTGAAGCTCCCTTTGAAAAAAAAGGAGGACCCTTACTAAAACACACACACAGTTTTTGACTTTATAAAAAAAAAGTTCCAATGATATAAATCCATTATCAATCACATCCTCCAGAAATGTAGATCCTTGTTAATCACACTGAACTACACCTGCTGAATGGAAAACCCGACAACCCTATCACGACAACAGGCACTCAGTAAATGACATCTCCCCAAACTGTCATTGGAAATATTAAGTAACGGGCAAGAATAGTGGTGACATCATTGCCCAAATATGGCCATATTTAAGCAGTTACCTCACCTACTATCTCCACTCCTTTGCTTATGTGGCAAGGGACTCCCAGCCATGTAAGTGAATGGGCCAGGTGATGTCAGTGGTTGGTAAATAGGTACCTATTGCTTCATTAGCTACCATTGACAGCAGGCAGCTGTCATGTTTATCCACACTGAATGCTCTATATTATTATTATTATACAGTATTTATATAGCGCCAAAAGGTTTGCTCAGCGCTAACATTATAATGGGAGACAGTACATGAGACAATACAGTAATAATACAATACACAGGGGTTCGAGGGCCCTGCTCCTTGGAGCTTACAATCTAGGAGAGAGGGGATAGTGGTACAGGAGGAAATGGCTGTGGGGGATGGAGTGGTAGGAGGAGAGGAGGAGATCAGCTGTAGGTGAGGGGGGGGTAGGCTTATGAAGAGATGGGTTTTCATGGTGCGCCTAAAGGTGAGGAGGGTAGGTGACAGTCTGATGGATTGGGGTAGTGAGTTCCAGAGGATGGGGGAAGTCCTGGAGAAGTCCTGCAGTCGGGCGCGTGGGAGTGCTGACCAGGGAGCTAGAAAGTAGGAGGTCTTGTGAGGAGCGAAGATTACGGGTAGGGTGGTATTTGGGTATCAGCTGGCCCCTAATCTCAGGCAATGATAGCATGGATTGGTCAGTAGCACATCCCCACTGCTGATTGGACAGTGAATTAGCTGTAGCAATATGACGAGTCTGCTCTGTTGTTCGGTCACCATGTTCTCTGGCTGTTTTGCAGCAGAGCTTCAATAGTTCAAAGTGCTGCTTCTCCCTCTCCTAGTCTGAGGACTGCTGTACAGAGGATCACAAGATTGCTGTACAGAGGCTGATATCAATTATAGCTTACATATCAGTACAGATTCAGGTACTTACACTAGCTGAATTGAAGTAATTTTTTATATCTAACTTATTACTATTATTTACTGACATTTTTGTAGACACTATCACTACACTGTGGCTTACATGTGTTTTTTCATCATTCTTACAGGACCACCTAACGAGGCACAGAATTTTTCCTGTGAAACAAATGACTTACAAAGGTTACACTGCACCTGGAAGTCCGGGCCTCTTTATAATTTCTATGGTCATCTGGCTGTAAAATACATATTGCATGAAAGGTAAATTGCAGAGAATGCTGATATGGATTTTCAGGAAATTATGCTTAGCTTGTGCTCCCTCTGTGAACGCCCAGGGAAATGAGAAATGACAATTGTTTAAAGAAGAATAGGCAAAAAAAATATCCATTCGTACACACCCCCCCCCCCCCCAAACACAAAACACTAAACAGATAATACCATTTTGAAAATCCTTACCATTTAGAAGAAGTTGAAATTGAGTTTCTGTAATTCAAAAGATAACAGCATCTGCTCTGCCAAGGAGGCGGTGTAACAGCAGGAATTATATCCTATCTTCTCCTCTCTCTCTGCAGTAAAAAGAAACTACAGTTCCCATCAACCACAGGGAATTGTAGTGAATTTGGGTGGGTACACTAGGCCTGTCCACGTTGAATGCATCTGGGAGTCTTGGTCTGCCCACCAATGCAAGTGTGGCTGAATTACATTGTGCTTCCTGGGGGAAGAACTACAGGGAAGTGCCAAGGCTAATGGCTGGGGGAATAAAAGGCATAGCAGCCACTGGCCTCACAAACAAGAAACCAAAGAGAATTAATGGTTTGATTTGGAAATGAATAGGCTATTTCACAGCAACTACTGAGTGAACCAGAAGATGGATGACATATTCAGTGAAGGTAGGAAATCAGCAATAGGTTTTTTTGCCCAGAGTTCTGCTTTACGGTACAAGGAAAGGACACTGGTAGAAAAAAAAGGTAAGTATGGCAAAGGGTAGTGATAGGAGAACAAAGAAAGGACTTGAGTGTTGTTTATTTTTCACCTTAAGCATGTCCAAAGGTGTTCTGAGGCCTTCTGGGGCCCAAACAATGTCCCTGGTTGAAATTAGATCAAAATCAGTGATCTGTAAAAAAAAAAAATGGACACTTGCTTAGCAGTGAAGCAGCCACATGCTAGTTTAGTTCAACATTTCCTCTGGTACCTCATGGTGGAACAGAGCTCATAAAATATTCAATGCACTGCATTTAGGAACATGGTGGAGGCTATAGGGTTGATTTAATAAAAGGCAGATAGGCTGTTCGCATAGCAAGGGAGTTTTCCCCTGGCTTTTGTGATGGAGGTGAAGCTCTGCTGACTTCCATCATCCAATGCATGTGAACACAGTAAAAAAAAAAATTTGTATCTATTTTTCTGCACTTGATTGGGTACCATTTAGACATGTGCACACCAGAAAATTTTGTTTCGTTTTGTATGCATTTATTAGATTGATATTTTCGTTCCTTTGTATTCATTGTCTCCGTCAGATTCATTTTTGGGATTTGTTTAATTTCTTCGGAATTTGTTTCATATTTTTGTTAGTCTGGGTGGATTTGAAAAGGTTTCCAATTCTTTTGGAAGATTTGATACCTTTTCGGAAGCATTTGATACGACCAAATAATGCAGTTAGGCGGTAGTCCTGAATTTTTCAAACCTAAGAACTGGATTTTGGAACTGACTGACTGTGACTGTGGCAATTACAAATTCAATTTAAATCACAAATTTACTTTAATTTCCTTATGCTTTGTATCAGGGGCGGACTGACAACTCATGGGGCCCCCGGGCAATAGGGGATCATGGGGCCCCTGTGTCCTTGCCCAAACTCAAAAAAGCCTATGAAAAAGGTACCAGGGGCATCTCATGGGGCCCCCTACTGACCCCAGGCCCTCGGGCAGTGCCCGAGTTTTCAAATGGTCAGTCCGTCCCTGCTTTATATACATCCCTGCTAGTCCAACCCACCAAGAGAAATGGCATGAGCTGGTTTAACAATCGACTGGCACCATGTGCATCTGAAAGAAATGAAATTTGGGATCATTCATTATCCGAATCTGAACAAATTATCAAACTAATTTGAAAATTTATTTAATTTCCCCATGGGCCTGAACTACTATTGCATCATGTGACATCTTCTAAATGACCAAATGGATACGAACATTTTGTTTAATTTTTTTTTTTGGATTCTTGTCATTCATTACTGTTGTGATCTGGATATTCGTTTACGTCCGAATGTCTGAATAATGAATTTTCATACAAAGATCGATTTGTGACGAATCACATGTGTCTAGTATTCTTTGCAGTGAAATTTTACTGCATTTACTAAGCTAAGTAAGTAAAAAGTCCTTTACAAAGTGAACAGCCTTTTTACCTTTTAGTATATCAATCCCTATGTGTCCATACCTTTGTGCTGCTTGCACTATAGTATTGGAAACAAAGGCCAAGTCCATGAACATAGCTGAGCCACTGAATTTGTTACATGATATACCATAACTGCCATTCCTGTTCAACAGGCATTTTACTGCATCGAGTGGATGGATTGTGATGTATGGATTACTATAAATAAATGTCATGTAAAATTACACTTAATGGTGAGGGTATGAGAAAGGATTCAAAAGATATAACCCAACAAACTGCAAAGATTGAAGTCTGAATACAAGATCGTATTTGGGGAGATGGCAGAAGTTAAAGGACACCAAAGAGAACTCGGTAGAAGGTCTGAGGGCACATGCTTTAGGTACCAGGGTCTATCAATGCCCCTGCATGAAATATTAACCTTTTAGGATCATGATTTATCCTGCTATTGGCCACCAAATGACTTCCTTCTGCTTTTCCTGGTCACAGCCAATACAGGAAAGGGGATCTGTGGACAGCAAGTGTGTATGATTGGTTGCCTCCACCTCAGCAAGGAGCACGAAGGAGCTAAACCTGAATAATGACTTATTTATCCAAGTATTTAAACTTGAATTTTTTTTAGAGAGTTTCAAATTGTTTCCTGTGTGGTTGGTCACTTGCTTATTAAGTTAGAAGACAAAGTTTGGAATGTGGAAATTATTTCCCTACAATCACTTCCGCTGCTTATATCTCGGGATCTGGTAATCCTTGTGACATGCTGTTTTCACTGATGGCGACCTCTGCTAAGAACAGTTGTCATTGTATGCCTTGAATTGCCAAGGATGGTGACCAATTTCTGTTAAAACACACGAGAGAAGAAAGTTATTCCCACTAAGTTATGATCTAATGAATAAGTCATGCTTGTCTTTATAAACATTAGAATTTGACTCATTCTGTTTTATTGCTTGTTTTTTATTTAATGAAGGTTATCTGGAAGGTCGGCTTCTTGCTCCAGAGAGAATTGTACTTGGCCCATTGTAAGGAACCAGCAAATCTATAATTTTACATTGAACGTTAAAAATAAATTGGGTGAGAAGAGTATACAGGTCGTTGTGGATCTAGCAGAGAGAGGTATGTTGGTAAAAGTACTGTTCATCCATAGGTTTCCATTGTGCATTTACTACGGGACGCTTTGAATGGCTATGGCAGCCATTCTCAAGCAGGGTTCCGTGGAGTTCCTCCAGAGGTTGCAACAGGTTCCTTAAGCTGTGGCTGTGGCATCCTTCCCACTGACCTCCAATGTAAGGGGCCTTCCTCCCACTGACCTCCAATGTAAGGGGCATTCCTCCCACTGACTGCCAATGTAAGGGACATTCTTCCCACTGACCACCAATGTAATGGACATTCTTCCCACCAAACACCAATGTAAGGAGCATTCCTCCCACTGACCTCCAATGTAAGGGGTATTCCTCCCACTGACCGCCAATGTAAGGGACATTCTTCCCACTGACCGCCAATGTAAGGGACATCCTTCCCACTGACCACCAATGTAACCATTCTTCCCACCAAACACCAATGGGAGCATTCCTCCCACTGACCTCCAATGTAAGGGGTATTCCTCCCACTGACCGCCAATGTAAGGGACATTCTTCCCACCGAACACCAATGTAACGGACATTCTTCCCACCGAACACCAATGTAAGGAGCATTCCTCCCACTGACCTCCAATGCAAGGGGCATTCCTCCCACTGACTGCCAATGTAAGGGACATTCTTCCCACTGACCTCCAATGTAAGGGGCATTCCTCCCACTGACCTCCAATGTAAGGGGCATTCCTCCCACTGACCTCCAATGTAAGGGGCATTCCTCCCACTGACCACCAATGTAAGGGACATTCTTCCCACTGACCACCAATGTAAGGGGCATTCCTCCCACTGACCTCCAATGTAAGGGGCATTCCTCCCACTGACCTCCAATGTAAGGGGCATTCCTCCCACTGACCACCAATGTAAGGGACATTCTTCCCACTGACCACCAATGTAAAGAGCATTCCTCCCACTGACCACCAATGAATTGTTTTTAGCAGGAGCTTCCTGAGACCTACAAATAATTCAAATGGTTCCTGGGATAGAAAGGTTGAGAAAGGCAGGTTTAGGGGGTGGTCATGTACAGGCCAGCCAGTAAAGCCATGTCTTCACCCAACCTGGGTCTTTGTCCTGTCTTCGGGGTCCAGGCACCACCATTTTTAACTGTGGGAAGTCGACTGTTACTCCTTGTGGTTTCACAGCTGGCTGCCCACTGCTCATGCACGAGCCGAGCTGCACATCGTGATTGGTCCTGCAGTGTCCTGGGACCTGAGTGGACGTGGGTACCTGTCAAAATCTGGTACACGCCCCCCCCCCCCTTCCCAAGAAGTATGCCAAACATGGGAGAGGAGGGGGGAGGAGGAGGAGGAAAAGCAGAACTTCTCCTTTTGGGTGAAGTTCCACTTTAACAGCCATGATTTTGAAATAGGATGTCCAAAAAGTTCATATAGGTCAGGTGATAAGGTATCCACAAACTCTTGACCATATAGTGCACATAAATAATAAATAATGGCAAAACTAAGGTGATTAGATCCAATCAGGATCCAAAGTGAATTATACAAAGTGCAGCGTGAAATACCAGGAGAAATCCTGTATGAACCCCTATTAAGTGAAACCACAAATAAACAAAAAATCAAACCCCCATATCCCCAAATGAGGGATCAAAAGAGTACATAAAAATGGGGTGTAAAACACTAGTGAATCCCCAACCTGGGGGATATACAACCTAATAAAGTGATACGTAAGACAGAACGAATATATATACACATAACCACACTTGTAAACATCCACATAAAAAAATGAATGAATGAAAAATATCTCAAATGAAAAAAAACTCAATAAGTTCACTTAAAATGTCCAATAAATGTAAATGTATAAACGTGACCCACGAAGAATTATCATGCAGGTGATGAAGTGACTGTGTGATCACAGCAATGGTGAAACAATCCTCAAATGGCTAAAATGCTCCCTCACCTCCTCAATGTGACGCCAAGGGCCAGCTCGCTTTTAGGATCACACCACGATCCTTACAGGTAATAACTCATCACAGGATAATAACCGCAAGAGATCCCATCAATGGTGGCACTTACTCCTCTCAGGTCCCCTCCAGGCACAGGTATCCGCAATATAGATCACTCTCCCATAAAGGATCATAATGATAGAAAAGAAAGATCCTCCATAGTGTAATAAGGTTTATTATTGCACAAACAATTAAAAACGCCAATTGCCCACTCACTTGTACTCAGTAAAACATCAGCTTGTAAACCTCATGCTATGGGTGTACTGCATGGGTTTTCAGGTGTACCAAAATGGCGCCCACGCCGGAACTACGTCCCCCGGCGTACCAGAAACACTTTACCGCATACCAACGTGTTGCGTCACGCTAACCACGTGACTTCATCAGGGTATATCCTGATAGATCCTGGCTAGATTTGGCCCTGTTAATGCATATGGCGAAAATTGTGCACAATAGCCAATCAGGTGAAAGGAAACTAAAAAAAAAAAAAAATCTGTATTTTTGCTTGCACACTTGGGTGACGGAAATCAACAGCGCTTTATCTCATTCAGGGCAACCTCCCTTGCAAAGTGCAATTTACCTTGCAAAGTGAACAGTCTATTTGCATTTAGTAAATCAATCTCTCAGAATGACAGCTGGTTGTTGATAGTATTCTGCCAGGCCAGAAAACTTTCCCTGGTAGTGGTAGGAGGTGATTCAATGTGAAATGTGAATCATTCCTGTGTGCAGCAGACCAGAGAACCATTTACTATGGAACACTTCTGGCTCTGTGGTTTGCGGCGCAGCAGATGACCAGAGCGGAGCAATCAGAGAGAAATCCGGCTCCTTATTATGGAAAGTGCTGAATTATAAAAACAGCAGAAAAAATGTTTAGTTGCCCACAGCTTCCAGCTGGTGACTTCTGTGCAATTTATATCTTCTTCTGGAAAAATGACAGCTGGGACCTGGTAGCCTGCTATAAGCAATGCCTATATTTTATATGCAGGACAATTAGTAGCAATGCAGAGACTTTCTGATGGTCATTATTTATTACATGTATTTATATAGCTCTTGAGGGCCCAGGGTTAGTAAGGGGCCTCATGAGATGTCCCTGATACCTTTCATAGGCTTTTTTGGGTGTGGTTTGAGTGTTGGCAAGGACAGAGGGGCCCCATGATTTCCTATTGTCCGGGGGCCCCATGAGTTGTCAGTCCGCCCCTGGCGTCATCTATTTATGCAGCGCTATATATATATATTGTACATTCACATCATATTTGATTATCCATAGATTTAACCCCTCAATCCCCACCCACTCCCTACCTACGCACACAGCTGACAATTTCTAGGCTTGCTGAGGGGTTGCTCGGGTCATACATAGCACTGGCATGGTGCCCGGGAAGGTGCCTATTGTCTACTATCATGATAGTCTGATATCGGGCTAAGGAGACGGGACAGGGGGCATTCAGGGCAATGCTGGATTGGTAAATGGTAAGAAGTATTCTAGGCTTTTTACTTTAAAGAAACTGTTTTACCTACAAAAGGATTTCTCCTTATGGGGCTGATTTACTAAAACTGGAGATTGCAAAATCTGGTGCAGCTCTGCATGGTAGCCAATCTAACTTCAGATTGTTCAATTAAGCTTTGACAATAAAAAACAAAAAAACCCCCAAAAAACTAGAAGATGATTGGTTTCAATGCAGAACTGCACCAGATTTTACATTCTCTGGTTTTAGTAAATCGACCCCAATGTGTCAATCGTGTGATTCAGGTATTGCTATAAAAATAACACAAACAAGTTCCAGGTCTTCACTGCAGTGGCAGAAACCCACCCCCAGCTTGCACCCCACTGATTGGATAGTGATGGAGTAGCATTACACTGATGAGCCATCCCTCTGCTCACTCTGCTCTCCTCTCCTTTCAGTATTTTCCTTGTCAACACATGTGCAGTACAGCAGAAACGAGTGCTGACCCTCAATTTCCAAGTCATACTGCTGTTACAGGAAGCTGGCAGATTCAAGAGCCTACACTAGTTACATTTAAATATAAATGTTCATTGCTTTATGTGTCTTATATTAGGTAAACAGTTCATGTTTAAAGCTGTGTTTTATATATATATATATATATATATATATATATATATAGTTGTGTTCAAAATAATAGCAGTCAGACATCACTAGCCGGATCAATCACTGTTTTTGGTAGAAATGATATTTCTACATGGCAAATAATTTACTAGCAGGTGTAGTAGAGTAATAGAAATCCAACAGACCCAACAGTCATGACATGCATGCTGCTGATTCTGTGTAATTGAATCACTAACTGAAAGGGGCATGTTCAAAATAATAGCAGTGTGGAGTTCTGCTAGTGAGGTCATTCATTCTTTGAAAAACAGGTGGCAATTATTGCCCTTATTTAAGGAAGGAAGGCAGCAAATGTTGTACATGCTGGTTACAGTGAATTTCTCTCTGAAATTCTGAGGAAAATGGGTCGTTCCAGACATTGTTCAGAAGAAAAGTGTACCTTGATTAAAAAGTTGATTGGAGAGGGGAAAGCATATAAAGAAGTGCAGAAAATGATAGGCTGCTCAGCTAAAATGATCGCAAATGCTTTAAAATGGCAACCAAAACCTGAAAGACGTGGAGGAAAGTGAAAAACTACCATTCGAATGGATAGAAGAATAGCCAAAATGGCAAGGACTCAGCCAACAATCAGCTCCAGGAAGATGAAAGAAGGTGTAAAGTTACCTGTGAGTACTGTTACAATTAGAAGACGCCTATGTGAAGCCAAGCTATCTGCAAGAAGCCCCCGCAAAGTCCCACTGTTGAAAAAAAAGACGTGCTGAAGAGGTTACAATTTGCCAAAGAGCACATTGACTGGCCTAAAGAGAAATGGCGCAACATTTTGTGGACTGATGAAAGTAAGATTGTCCTTTTTGGGTCTAGTGGCCGGAGACAGTTTGTCAGACGACCCCCAAACACTGAATTCAAGCCACAGTACACTGTGAAGACAGTGAAGCATGGTTGTGCAAGCATCATGATATGGGGATGTTTCTCATACTACGGTGTTGGGCCTATTTATCTCATACCAGGGATCATGGATCAGTTTGAATACATCAGAATACTTGAAGAGGTCATGCTGCCTTATGCTGAAGAGGAAATGCCCTTGAAATGGGTGTTCCAACAAGACAACGACCCCAAACACACCAGTAAACGTGCAACATCGTGGTTCCAGACCAACAAGGTTGACGTTATGGAGTGGCCAGCCCAATCCCTGGATCTTAATCCAATAGAAAACTTGTGGGGTGACATCAAAAATGCAGTTTCTAAGGCAAAACCAAGAAATAGAGAAGAACTGTGGAATGTAGTCCAATCATCCTGGGCTGGAATACCTGATCACAGGTGCCAGAAGTTGGGTGACTCCATGCAACACAGATGTACAGCAGTTCTCAGAAACAGTGCGACTACAACCAAATATTCATTAACCACTTGCCTACCAGGCACTTATACCCCCTTATTTACCAGGCCAATTTTCAGCTTTCAGCGCTGCCGCATTTTGATTGACAATTGCGCGGTCATGCAACATTGTACCCATATGAAATTTTGATAATTTTTTTCTCACAAATAGAGCTTTCTTTTGGTGGTATTTGCCACTGGGCGCTTTACTTTTTGCGCTATAAATAAAAAATTGCCAAAAATTTGAAAAAAAAAAAAACGTTTCTTTGTTTCTATTATAAAATTTTTCAAACAGGTAATTTTTCTCCTTCACTGATGTGCGTTGATGAGGCAGCACTGATGGGCACTGATAGGCGGCACTGATAGGCAGCACTAAAGGGCACTGATAGGCAGTACTAATGAGGTGGCACGGATAGGCGGCACTGATAGACAGCACTAATGAGGTGTCACAGATAGGCGGCACTGATGATGGGTACTGATAGACGACACTGACTGGCATCACTGCTCACTGACTGGGGCACTGACTGGCAGCACTGCTGGGCTGCACTGGTGGGTGGCACTGGTGGGCAGCACTGGTGGGTGGGCACAGGTGGGTGGCACTGGTGGGTGGCACTAGTGGGCACGGGTGGGTGGGCACAGGTGGGTGGCACTGCTGGGCACAGGTAGGTGGCACTTCTGGGCACAGGTGTGTGACATTGCAGAGCGGCACAGGTGGGTGCACACTGCTGGGCACAGGTGGGCGGAGCTAGTGGGCGCACTGCTGGGCACAGGTGGGCGGAACTTGCGGGTGGCACTGCTGGGCACCGCACCTGATCATCAGTGCCCTGATGATCGGTGCCGATCCCCGCTGTGACAACTGCCGGTTCTCGGCAGTACTTTCCTCACGATCTGACAGCGTGAGGAAAGTGCAGCCGAGAACCGGCACTTGCATTTCCCTGTGATCAGCGTGTCATTGGACACCGCTGATCAGGTGGTAAAAGGCCGCTGTGATTGGCCTTTTACCACATCACGTGATCAGCTGTGTCCGTAGGACACAGCGTTCACGGAGATTGCCGGGTGCGCGCCCCCTGGGGCGCGCAGGAGAGCGCGTTCTGGGGGGACGTCATATGACGTCCACTCAGAACTGGCTGGCTGCAGTGCAGCCATCATTCGGCTATCTGCGGTCGGCAACAAGTTAAGTCATTCAAAGGAAAGCAAAATCCAAACATTTTTCAGTTTATATAGTGAATGTTTGAGTTTGTAAAGAAGAATACAAACACTGCCATTTTTTTGAACAGTCTAATATTCACTTTTCTTCAATTATTTTAGAGGAACAACACAAATTTGATATATTTTTCTTCATGTTTTGATTTGGAATAGAATGTGTCGTGTTCCCAATGCATTTGTGTGTATGGAAATAAAAGCTATTAGAAGGATTTTGAGCTTTATTCACTTTTTTCAACACACTGCTATTATTTTGAACACAACTGTATATATATATATATATATATATATATATATATACTTTTTTTGTTACTATAGTTTACAAGCTGTTGTATCTTGCACAGTAATTTTCACAATCTTTTTTCTCCCACTTGACCTCTTACCAGTGCGCCCTATCGCTCCTACAAATGTAATGGCACGATATGTGAATGCGGCAGATGCTGTATTATTGTGGACTTTGAAGGCCGACTACTCATCTCTTGTACTGCATTGTGAGGCTGATCTGAAGCACAGCACAGTAAGTAAACTGGAAAATAAAACAAAGATGTGCTTTACTTCCAATATGGTGGCATCGCTATAGGGGTGCGCACCGCACCCGGGTGAGACCTGCCAGAGTGGTGACACCAAGGCCACCAATGGGGGGTACCACCGAGGGGCACACAGGGGGGACCAGAAAAAAAGGGGGGTGGGTGCAGCGGGACGGGAGGACAATTACAGAATGATGCACTGAGTCTGTGTCTCTCCCTCTAGCAGCTGAAAGTCGATTTCTGCCCCTCTCCCTCCCACCAGCATACAGCTGCTGGAAGGAGAGACACAGACACAGTGCATTGTTCTGTAATTGTTCTCCCATCCCACTGCACCGATCCCACTCCTTGTGCTGCCCACATCTGATTCGCCCCAGGGTACCCGGGCATCTCCTTGTCCCCCTGCAGGGCTGCTGGGTTTCTTCTCTTATTGGTACACAGATGGATCGAGAGTGGTGGAAAAGGATGGTAAATTTGTCATTTACTGGTGTCTTCCTTTTCTGAATTGGACACAGTGAACGATCGGTATTGATCACTCCTGTGTCCATTGATAACTGAGCATAGAAAATGTGTGTACTATGCTTCAGTTTATGCATGAACAGGAGCCTCTGTTTGAGCCTCTGCCTCTGTCATATATAATATATTAGAAATAACCTACATTTGGAATGCAACTTTATTGACATACAAAGCATATAATCACTTAAAGTATGTAAACCCTCACTTTGGAATAAAACCCATTCAGTTTAAAATAGAAATGAAAGGCAAAACATTTGTGTATAAATATAAAAAAAAAAGCATTATACCTTTTTTCCCCCTTTTTTTTTTATAAGTGATCACATACCGTCTGTACTCAGCTTCAAAGGAGTCGGGGGGGGGGGGGGGACGGGACAGCAGAACACAGATCTTCTCAGTGATTGGCTGTGGAGTGGGGGGGGGGATGTCAGGACTGATCTGTATGATCATTGGAGGAAAGCAGGCTGAGTTCCCAGAACAGCTAGAGAACTGACCATGCTGTTCTGTTATGCCTAGTGTGGTCAGTTGTTAATAGGAAAGCAGAGGGACTGACAGGATCACTAGGGATTTCACACAAAGGAAGCAATACATGGAGAACAAGATACTTTCCATACAAATACATGGTACAGTAGGCACATATCAGGAATATGAAATGTTGGGTTTACATATTCCTTAACCACTTCCTGTCCAGGCCAATTTTCAGCTTTCAGTGCTATCACACTTACTGACAATTGCGCGGTCATGAAACACTGTACCCATATGAATTTTTTAGCATTGTTTTGAGACAGATAAAACTTTATTTTGGTGAAATTTATTCAATACTGGGATTTTTTTTTTTTTGCTACAGTTGTGACCAAAATTATTCAACCCCCAATGCTGTAAAGGGTTTTAGGGACTATAGTGTACATTTGGAATTGTATTCAGAATCAAATCCTACAAGGACGTTGTAACTACCAAATGCAACTAAAATGACATCAATTGTTTATGTAATACAGTAGTAAATGGTTCTTATGTGGTTTCTTCATTGCCACAATTATTCAACCCCTTAAAGACTACCACTCTGAAGAACAGAGGTTCATACAGGTGCTTTCCATCAGGTATTGAAAACACCTGTGGATGTCACCGAGCAGCAATCAAGCATAATAAGCACCAATTAGGCAGCTTTAAAATGACTGTGATACTCAGCTCCTTCTAGACATTTACTGGTGTGGTTACAAACATGGTGAAGGCAAGAGAATGGTCCAGGAAGACAAGAGAAGAGGTGATTTCTCTTCACAGGAAGGGCAATGGCTATAAGAAGATTGCAAAGATGTTAAACATACCAAGAGACACCTTAGGAAGCATCATTCGCAAATTCAAGGCAAAGGGCACTGTTGAAACGCTACCTGGTCGTGGCAGAAAGAAGATGCTGACTTCGACTGCTGTGCGCTACCTGAAGCGTAGAGTGGAGAGAAGTCCCCGTGTGACTGCTGAGGAACTGAGAAAAGATTTGTCAGATGTGGGTACAGAAGTTTCAGCCCAGACAATAAGACGCACACTGCGTAATGAAGGCCTCCGTGCCAGAACTCCCAGGCGTACCCCCTTGCTGTCTCCAAAGAATAAGAAGAGTCGACTGCAGTATGCCAAAAGCCATGTGGACAAACCACAAAAGTTGTGGGATAGTGTTCTGTGGACTGATGAAACAAAATTAGAACTGTTTGGGCCCATGGATCAACGCTATGTTTGGAGGAGGAAGAACAAGGCCTATGATGAAAAGAACACCTTGCCTACTGTGAAGCATGGTGGAGGGTCAATCATGCTTTGGGGCTGTTTTGCTTCTGCAGGTACAGGGAAGCTTCAGCGTGTGCAAGGTACCATGAATTCTCTTCAGTACCAGGAGATATTGGATGGGAACGTGATGCAGTCCGTCACACACCTGAGGCTTGGGAGACGTTGGACCTTTCAACAGGACAATGATCCCAAGCATACCTCCAAGTCCACTAGAGCATGGTTGCAGAGGAAAGGCTGGAACATTTTGGAGTGGCCATCGCAGTCACCAGACTTAAATCCGATTGAGAACCTCTGGTGGGACTTAAAGAAAGCAGCAGTTGCAGTGCGCAAGCCTAAGAATGTGACTGAACTGGAGGCCTTTGCCCATGAAGAATGGGCGAAGATACCCGTAGATCGCTGCAAGACACTTGTGTCAAGCTATGCTTCACGTTTAAAAGCTGTTATAACTGTAAAAGGATGCTGTACTAAGTACTAAGATTGAATGTCACTTGGGGGTTGAATAAAACTGATAATGCTGTGAGCACAGAAAAGACATTTGTGGTTATTTCATTATAACTGTTATGTTATATTTGTCTGACCTACAAGTGCCTCTTTAATGTAAATGTAAGCAAGATGACTGAATGATCAAAAGCAATGTCAAACTGGCCAAAACACTCAATTTCAGTGGGGGTTGAATAATTTTGGTCACAACTGTATGTAAATGAAAATGTCCAAAAATTTTGAAAAAAATGTTTTTTTCTTATAAAATTTTACAAATAAATGGCCAAAATGTATTCCGTTATTTTTTAGTAAATTTTGTTGTAACCAAAAATTATTTTTAAACTTTTTTTTTTATTTATTTTTTAATATTATTATTTGGGTTTTTTTTACATACTGTCACCCTAGCAGTACAGTGTCACCATGGTGACACTGTACTACTTGTGGGGGGTGATGAAGATTTTTTTTTTTTTACACTGATTGCTTTTACACCCATAAAGGCTGTAAAAGCAATTATTTCTCCTTCTCTCTGGCTGCATTCTTGCAGCCATTGAGAACTACTGTGTGAGCTGTGATTGGTCACAGTTTGTCACATGGTACAAGGCTGTTGTGAATAGTCTTGTACCATGTGACCTTTGTGATCATTCCCAGATTTTCACACATAGTAAGCAATGATGTCACAAGTGACATCTTGCTTACTACGCTGCATGTGATCACTGATTGGCCAATCAGTGATCACATAATCGGGACCTCGCACAGAGGTCCCGTCCGACGATCAGTGTTCCACTGTGTCCGGAGGACACAGCGGGCACAGGATCGCGGTGCTGCGCACTCCCAGGGAATGCGCACAAGCAGGGTGCGGGGAGGCCGTTTATAAACAGCCACCCAATCCTGCACTACCACCATCCGGCCGTTTATTTACATGGGCCGGACAGGAACTGGATAAACCATTAAAAAATCAATTATACCTCCCTGCCAGCACAGATGTTATCTTGCATTGTATATCACCAAATGCAATATATCATTATTTTTCTTATTATAATACAGGATTTATATAGGGAAAACAGTTTGTGTAGCACAGTACAGTTATAATACAAGAGAGGTCAGAGGGCAGATATTGTGCAACTAAAACCCTGCTTATATTGCATGTTGTCAGAGATTGTATTTTTTTCTGGCTAGTTGGTAAGTATGCTGGAACATACATTTTGCTTTGTTTGCTGTGTGCAAAGCCCTTCCATGTACACCTTAATTTACAACCTAGTTAAAAATGAGGGTGGTTGCCATTTTTGTTCAGCTTGATGTAATTAGTTGCCATAAAAAAGAAATGGGCTGCCTAAAGGCACACCTGCCCATAATGTTTCCATGGCTATATATCCTCTAAGATAGAGGCTGTCATGGACTGAAGTTAGGACCACACTGTACAGAGGAGTTTTTGCAAGATAGT